ATGGGTTTAGTAGGGACTTGGATTCAGTGTTACTACAAATTTTGTCATAATTCAACATCAGTTAGAGATTTGTTGAAAACCAGAAAGTACTGGATAGTTGTTTCGTCGCAGTCTAGGACTCCTCATCAGCGCACACCCATGATTCCAACAAGGATCGACCCTGAGTCGTCCAAGTTTCCTATTGATTACCAAACTGATGTCGCTTCGTGACAAAGTGTTTATTAAATTTTCTCATATGTTTGTGATTTCAACACGTAGAATTTCGATTACAAGTAACGTTTTATTGCTTGTAGCTGATTGTCCTTTTGACTCATTTATACACATGTATCTGGTTTATTTCAAGTAGTATAGTTTAACTTTCTTTAGAATTAGCAATTTCTGATTAACTTTCACCCATGTTGATTTTGTTTTCTGGAAAAAAAAACTATTACAAATTCTTACGGATCAAGCTGTCGTTATTTATTTACAATATATATTCAACATACTTTCATATTTTATTTGCTTACCGCTTTTCTTATTTTGTATTTGCTTTTCACAAATTATTAGCTACTTTTATGATTGCCATTATTGTCAGATGAGACTACTCGTGTGTGTGTGTGTATGTATGTCCTATAATATATATACTTATGCATATATATATAACTAGTCTATGAATTACATCCATCATAACTTCAACAATTATCGCTTAGTCTGTATTGATTGAATTCTGTTCTGCCTTTGATGAATATGCATGTGTCTGTATGTTGTCTGTATGTGTGCACACGTGATGAATGCATATTTCACTCGTGTACATGTGTTTACACTCGCTAGTAGTATTATGTATTCAACTGATTTGTGCAGTTGAATGTAGCCAGATTCAGTCAGTTAGTATACTGTTGTAGGTCATATCATTAAGTTTCTTTTTTGCCAACAATAATCAAAAATATTCATTACAATAATAATAAAAAATAATCAGGACAACGGTACACTGTAATGGTTGGTTATTGCTATTATTATGACACTGATTGCGAACATTCTTTCGCTTCATAAATCGTGATCTATTCAAATTGTTATAAAGTGTTGATGTTAATATTTATTATTATTATTCCCTTGGGTTCCAAGAGGAACATAGAACTTCAACATCACACCTCCATTTCATCCTGTTTGCTGTAGTCATCTCTAGCTGGCTCCACGACTGCTCATCTTCCCTCATCTCCTCCATGTCATCCTCGGACCCAACCTTTTACATTTTCAATTTCTAGTCATTTATGTTAAGTCATCCAACCTATTTGCTCAATTTCAGTTCGAATTTAAATGGCATTATTCTCTACCCCACTTCTACCTCTGTTGCTACCCTGACCTAAGTTGAAACATTTTAGTCAATTTGCAATTAATAGTGTTCTCTGAGCTGGTTGGTTTAGTTGCAAAGCTTTCGTCGTCCTTCTGGACAACATCTTCATCCACCTGAGCTACAAATCTCTATTATTTTAGTCAGTTATATTACGTCATCTAACTTACTAACTCAATCTTACTTTAGTTGCTGTATAATTAACCTTGTTTCTATATTAGATCATTCTTGTATTACCTGATCAATTATATAAACTTGACAAACCTCATGTACACACACACACACACACACAAATAATTTTCAATTAGTATCCTACCCGAGATCCTGGCTCGCGATGTTACTTGACGGTCTTCCCAGTGCTTTGCTGAAGCAATTGCTATCAGACGACTTAAACCAAATCTATGTACTCAGAAAGAGACGGTGGTGAATCTTGCACTGCCTTGGTGAGAAAATATATACAACAGCTTGTTTGTTTTTGTTTCCAAGCCTAATTGCCTAATTATTCTATAAATATTTATAAACTGTCAAATATTGATCACAATTCATTTGAATTATTCTATAAATAGTCAGTTGTTTGTAACTAGTTAAATCATTCCGGACTAATGTTACTTTTACTTCCTACCAATTACTCCATGTGATCGTGGAAAAGTATGTTCAAATCTTCAATGTAATGTAATTTATATTTTTCATCGTTCAGGTTGTAACCAGTTGAGAAGAATCCTCGAAATAATAAAAGATGAGCTCACATTATCCTGGTACAATAGTTGTTCTTGCTTTGTTCAAATCTCCATTTACTTGGGTATATTTCTGGGTTATGTGTTCTTGAATGGTTCTTTGTCAGACTTCCTTGTTGCTAATCTCTTCTGACCATCTGATCTTCGGTATCTAGCCGATGAAGCCATCTGTTGATAAAAGTCTTAAGTTTGTCTGAAATGGCTTTAGTGATGCATCAAGTCTGTGAGACATATAGGATCACTAACTTGACATTGCTATTGATTATCTCAATCTTATTCTTTATGCTGATTGCAGTAGATTGGCAGACTGATTTCACAGTAAATGAAAGTCTGTCCTAAGTTTCTGATCCTGGTCGGCGCTTACATCTTTATCCATACTGCCTGTAGTTGAAAAGATATTGCCTAAATAAGTGAAAGGAGCGACTTTCTTCAAAATTGATAGTGATTAGGGTTGCTCATAGTTGTTAAATCAAATTTTTCAAAAAGCACAATGGATTGTATCGAAAAAGCAATTTAGAAGTATAGATCTATTCGAAATTACAACAGAAATTGTGGTATTCATATTCAAATAGTTGTGTAATTTTGTCATTCAGTATCTTCTGCATGTATGTTGACATAGGTTTGTATATATTTATCAGCGTTTGTGTTTACGTTTGCAATAAACTAATTTCCTATTTATAAGCTTGTTTGTCGTATATTTTAGGGTATAATTAGCTGTTTTGACTAATCGTAACTAGATAATAACTGGTGCGTCCTCGGTGGCACAGCGGTAGAATGAATGCTCACCGACAACGCATGTGGCCCGGCCGATGCACTCCTCTACCCCCTCTAAGCCAGTAATAAGGCTGGTAAAGAGGGAAGGTTGGGCATGAGGCTACCAACCCCATCCAGTAAAAATAAGCGCCACTGCTACCGAAACTTTAAGCCACCAGCTTGAAGCCTTATGTTCCACTGGAAATGTGAAGGAATAAAAAAGAGATAATATTTGCGATTGTAGTGTTAGAGTTTGTTTCATTCAAATAATTATTGTCAGGTATATATAGTCAGTAACCGACTCTGATAGTGCTCATTCATGAATTCACTAATTATCCGTACCCAAGGCCTTCAGATTGCCAGCCGATCACGCATGTTTACCACTTAGCTAATCGGTTGAGAACCAATGTCACATAAATTCTCTTTCCTGTTAATTCATCATATAATCACTACTGCTTCAGTTTAAGTAATTCTTCGTAACTGGTGTCAGTTTGTGATGTGACGCATATTGTTTAATATTAATAGACTGTATATAAATCTAACTTTTGAAAACAATTAACCCACTGCTAATCATTTTCTGTTTTCTCAATTCCTAGTCGATTTCTTATTTCTGTACATTTGAAAGTAATCTACATTGTGAATGGAGATTATGATACACACGTTGATTAGACATTTTTCAGTCACTTCTTATCTTCTAGATTAATTCACTTATTCACATCTAGTTTGATATTAAGAGTAATATATCTGATAATCTGATATTATTCCATTATAGATAAAATTTTATTTTGATAAATCACACAGTGTCATACAGGAATATTAACTGATGACGTTTCGAGTACAAACTATTGCTGCTCATAATCATATCAAGTCACTCACACAACTTTTTTTCTTTCATTTATATACATGTGTGGAACTGATTAGACATTTGAATGAAAATCAATATAGGATAATGTACATTCAGAAATAATAATATGAGTGTTATTGATCAGATACAATCAGATGGGAAATAAGACGAGTGTTTTTATAGTCAGAATGTTATGATGTACGTGAATTGAAATAGAATTTTAAGATTATTTATTATCCTCCTCTGATTTGACTGGCAATGATATCTTCCATATCTCTGGTATTCGCATTGAGCTATTTTTGTTGCATGTGTTGGGTGTAGACTCGATGAACCAGGATTCAGTAGTCAATCTCTCTCTCCACCTCCCTATATTACTTCTTAGAATCTTAACCCTCTCCCACCTTATTGTGTGATTGTGTGTTTATGCCCGCAGTGCGATTGCTGAGCTTTTTTCTAAATTACTTATCTTCTCTGGGTCAACCATTCTTACCTCAGCTAAATTCTTATGTTCCGACAATCTGACTACCCCTGACCTACTAGTTTGACCTATCCAGTTGAATTAACTCACAGTCATTGCAAGATATTTTGTAAATTATATTATTTTGTTTAATTAGGTTCACCGGGTCTTTTAGCCTACAGAGCTTGTCTCTGAGTGAGTTTGTAGGTTTAAATGCCACCCTAATTCCTGCTTTATTGAGAATCCTACTTAGGGCCTCAGATGTCCCTTCCTTATATGGTATAACAGTAGATGCCGTATATTCTCTTTTATTTTATGTTATCATTATTAGTTTCACCATTATTTTCATCTCGCTTTTGTCCTTTTACGATATTCCTAATGAATTTTATGGGATAGTTATTCAACACCTAAACGACAAAATGAAACAGATGGAAGAGGCGTTGGTCCAAATTCATCACTCACTGGTTGCAAGTCGAGTGCCTAGATCGCATAAGCCACAGCTCTAGATAAGTTTTTTGTTTGCTATAACACAACATTTGACAGGTATTTTATACCCAGCTTTTTAGTAACACTCCAATCCGTCTATATACTTACCTTTTTACATTTTGCCCTATCTCATGGTTGCTGGCATGATAGTACTTGAAGCATCACCAACTTACGTACCTACAAGTTTGTTTTGAGTACTGATCCGGATTCACTGAAACTTCATAGACCCGAGCATACAATAACAACCAGTTGTACTGCCCACACTTTATTTTTCTGCAATTCTTTTGTTAACCGATACATCTGTTCCGTTGTAATGCATATGTAATGTAATGTAAACCATACTTTTTTTTCTCACACGTAGCTGAATGATTTTCTTCTCCTCTTTTGTTTTTATTATAGCTGAAGATAAACTACAAGTGATTAAGGTTGTACAGTTGGATACACGTTCATTATTGATTTGCTTCCCAAGTAAGTCAGTTTATGATTATTATTTTTTTTATTTTGTAAGCCGACATGTCTAAATGTCTTCAACAATTTTTCTAAAGCCTTTTATATTTATATTTTTATAGTAAAGAGGTATTAATAATAATAATACCTAATGATTTCTCTTTAAAAAAATGTTGAATTCTCATTGACATTCCACCACAGATATTTGCGCTCTATCTACCGTGTTAAGTGGTAAAATATGGTGAGGTTAGTCGTAGAGTATTCGCTAAGAAGGGCAAGTCGGTAGGTCACGTGAAGTTAACATGGCTAGGATACGTGTTATTACTCATACTTAGCCACCGCCTTTCTGGATTAGCAATGTTGGTTAACAAAGGATTAGGTTGGAAAATGGTTTGAGGTGATCATACCAAAACCTGTCATCAGTCTATGAAGTGTTTGACTGTTGGTTTGTTCCACGAAGGGTGGTGCAGACTACCTGTGTGGGGTCCTCGAGGTGCTAAGACCAAATGTCTGGAGATGATATGGCTCAAAATTGCCCTCAGTGACGCAGACGCATTCTTTGTGATCTCCCATATTTACTAAGCCGTCATGTTTTGCTATGTCACTATTCTTCCTCCTTTATGTATTGTGCTAAATGTAGTTCGTTTGTACCTCTTCTTTTCTCTCTTTTGTCTACCTTTGTGTGCTACATGGAGTAGGGCAACTTGAACTGGCCAAAAAATGGTTGTAATACACGTGAATTTCTCGTGCTGAATACAGCAGCATTTAACTACTGGTTTCTGTCAATAGGCCGTTTTCGTTTACATATATTTGTTTCATACATTTGGTTCCCTTGATAAATTTCGATAGAGAAAGGAAGACGAATTTCACAGTATAAAATGATATTATTCTATGTCACAGGTTCTCATCAAAATTAAAATGGTTATATAGATGATAACAACATACTTTATTTTTTAAGTGGTAGTAGAGAAGAAATACTATATAATTGACGCATCCAAAATGTAAGTATTACAATTTCTAGTTTAGGCGTATAAATTGATGATGAAAATTTAAACTAAAAATGTAACGCTTACATTTTGGATGCGTCAGTTCTATAGTATTTCTTCTCTACTACCAATTAAACAATAAAGTATGCTATTGTCATCTATATAACCATTGTAATTTCATATAGTTTGCAGCTGATGATAACCTGGGAAACAGAATTATTATTATTTCCTTTAATTCTTAGAGGAACATAGGACTTCAGCCGCGTGTCTCCATTGCGTTCGGTTCTCTGCTAGTCTTCACATGACCTCCTCCAAGTCACCCTTGCACTGACGACCAACTCGCCGCTTCCCTTTCGGGTTCCACTCGAGCGATAGTCTGGCGTGTGATGTCACTTGATGGTTTCCTCAGAGTATGGCCAATCCACCTTCATTTCTTCCTGCCTATTTGTTTCACAATCGGTTCCTGCTGGGTTGGTTCGCTCCCAAAGATCTCTGTTGCTGATCTTTTCTGGCTATCTGATCTTGAGTACTGAGCGAAGACAGATGTTAATGAAGGTCTGTAGTTTGTTTGAGGTGCTCTTTATGATGCGCTGGCCAAGTCTCTAACCCCCAAAGTAGCACTGACTTCACATTGGAGTTGAAACAGAATGATATCATTTTATACTGTAAATTTCGTCTTCCTTTCTTTATCGAAATATATTTATTTATTAATTACTAGGATACTATTTCATGTAATCTTAATATATTGTTAAAACATCCCAGATCAGAGCCTCAGTGATTCGTGTGTTGTTCGTGTTTGGAGGGTCGACTTTTACAGTACATATATGTTAACTTTTTTCGAGGCTACTTTTGTACAGACTGTCAAGTGTTCATTAGCCGTTACGTTTTCCTACCATCACTAACATTTAATATTTTGTATAATATGAATGTGTATGTGTTTTATTTGGTTTATTCATACAATGTCTAGTGTTTAATTGCATTAAAGTATGATTAAAAAAACAACAAAACAACATGTGAATTAGTATACTGTGTTATTATCTAATCAAAATTGATCATCTTATTCATTCAATGATGTGTTTCTCTGTGCTATATTGCCTACATGTGTGCATAAATTATACTCCACTTTTAATATAAAATTTAGCTCATGCTACAATGGTCAATATGAACGGACGTGTGCTAGTAAGTAGAGATGGTCGTATAGCCAAATTTCCATTCGATACAACAGTTGACTCTATTGGTACGTCGTCATGTATGCTTAATGTAAACCAGTTTCTTTTTTATCTTTATATTTAACTTTTGTTATAATAATAATAGTAATTGAATTAAAGTAAAATCGTTAGAATGTTAATATCCCTTTGATTGCAAGTGGTTTCACAAACTCCTTGATATTGCAGTATTGGATCCCATAATGTATTGTAAATTTTTGGGGATGAAACGAATACTGCGGTCACTTTCTACCTAGGTAGAATTTTTACCTTACAGCTTATATGCTGTGATGCGACAAATACAACTATTGTGATGTACATTCTACAAATGTGTTTCAAACCACAAAGTATTACCCTTTAGCATAGAATGGAAAACCTACTTTCGAATTATGTACACACTCTCGAAATCCTTTAAGACTTCTCTGTATTATTCGTTAAGTATCCTGTCAACCTTTGAATATTATCAAGTCCTTGCTTGGCTATCTGGAGGTATTATTTGCGTTCTATCCCCCGCGTTATGCGGTATAATATGTTAAGTCATATTAATAAAGATAGATGCAGTGTTAGATAAGAAGGGCGAGTTAATAGACGTGGTTGTGAAGCTGCATCGATTGAGATGGCTAGCACATGTATTACTAAGCCCTCTTTTTACTCTTCAAGTAATGTTAGCTGACATAGGATTAAGTTGGAAAAGAGTTAAAGACGGTGGAATCAAAACCTGACATTAATCCATGAAGGCTTCGACTGTTGGTTTGAGCTAAGTAGGGAAGTGTAAACTGTCCGGTTGGGGACTTTAGTATTTGCTAAGAACAAAATGGCTTGAGACTTTTGTGGATATGGCACAGCTGTATTCACTCTTTGTAAGCTGCCAGGCTCATTCAGTTGTCATATATTTCCATGTAGTTATTCTTTGTTTCTCCTGTACATTCCTACACCTTACAGTTGCCTTGAATTTATTTTTCCTTACGTTTGTGTGCTGTATGGTGTGTGTGACAACTTAAACTGCTGCACTTCTGTGCAAAGTCCTGTGGTCAAACTCAGTCAGTTAGCCAGTGTCTGCAAGCATGATAAATATGGAGTGTAACTTCTAGACATCTTATTCAGAAACTCTAAAACAACAATAAAATTATGAAAGTGTTTAATAAACTTGATGTATACTGTTTTGAATATTCTAATTAGCCTATGTAGTCGAGTCTACCACAGAGTAAAATGAAGATTGTAATAGTTTGTAAAAATATTCACCTGTGGTTGAATGACAATACATTGCATGATTGAAAATCGTTAGATCTGATGGGCTCAAATTCCATTTCATGAGTGTCATTTATGTTTCTTCAGCTAATGTAAAAACTGTATGCATCACCACCTGGTTTTCTTTCTAATCAGCTTAATTTCTTCTTACCCCTGAGGTATGAGATCTGTTTATTCGACTAGTTCATTTCTAATTGATTAAAAATGCCTATTAAAATTTTCCAAAGAATGGTTACTGAGCAAGGAATATTCTTTTCGATAATGCCTTCTTCATCAGCTTCTATAGTTATGTATACATAACAGTCAGTGAATTAGTGCTATTAACAGCATGAATGATCTTTAAATAACATCGAATCACTAATGGTAATATCAATGAATTACAGTCCGATAGCATCAACACAGTAATACACACTGAATATCAGAGAAATTAGGAAAGATAATAATTCAAATTCATGAATTTATAGTCTCCACTGAAGACTGGCCAGGGCAGTAGTAGTGACTGGACTTGCTACTTTTGCACACAGAGCACTGGTTGTTTCACGCGAATCTCGGTAGCCTCGGCTGTTTGGAGTATGTGGTACCTCGATATTTTTGGCAATTTAGTTGGTACCGGATAGGTGATAGAGAAAGAGTTTTCACTTTACAGACAAATGGATCGAGTGGCGATGGGTTCGCTATTGGGTCTCATTTTGGCAGATTTCCTTCTAAGTAAACTAGAAATGGAAAATGATTCCAATAGGAACACAATAGTATTATTCAATTCAATGAAAATCACGTGAGAAGAGGAATCCCAAAATAGAATTATCTTCCTAGATGTCTTCCTTTCAGGAAAACCAGATGGTAGTATTAAGAGGAATTTGCGTAGGAAAAGCACATGGGCGTGACAATATACACATTTTCATAATTTCGTTCCTCTCCAGCACAAAAAAATTTAGTCATGACCGCCCCCCCCCCAGTTACAGGGTTGGAGCTATATCCTCAGAAGAGTTAAATGAAGGTTAACTAAGGGTTGTATATGATACCTTGATTGAAAATAGCTATCTAGAGAAATTCATCAGGAAATATATCAAAGTTGGAAAGGACTACTTACTATCCACAAACAAGAAGCCTTTATACATACGACTGCAATTCAAGGGCGATATACCTAGCGAAATAATTATGAAGAAGTTAAGAAAGTCAGTTAAAAGAACTTTTAATGCTGACAAAATACAAGTCTTGTTTTCTACACGACCGGTGATGACTCCCCAATTGAAAGATGAAGTACGCAGACTAGCCACTTCGAATTGCGTCTATCAATTTGACTGCCCTTGTGGAGAGTGTTATATTGGCCGTTTCTCTGGGAACTTGATTTTTCGTGCTCACTCGGGAACATCTACCAGTGTGGTGTAAAAAAGGTGTAGTGAGTGGCATCAGTAGCTGGATATTAGAACACCTGGTCCAAAATGGCCACAAAGCTAATATTGAAAAGTCCTTCTCCATCATCTATCGGGTACCGAATAAATTGCCGAAAACATCCATGTATCTCATACTCCAAACAGCAGAGGCCATTTGCGATTCGCGTGAAACAACCAGTGCACTGTGTGCAGAAGAAGCAAATCCAGCCAGTACTACTATTGTCCTGGCCGTCCTTCAGTGGAGACTGTAAATTCATGAATTTGAATTACTATCTTTCCTAATTTCTCTGATATTCAATGTGTATTATACTAGTTGATGCTATCGGACTGTAATTCATTGATATTACCATTAGTGATTCGATGTTATTTAAACATCATTCACGCTGTTAATAACACTAATTCATTGACTATTATGTATATATAACTGTAGAAGCTGATGGTGAAGAAGGCATTATCGAAAAGAATATTCTTTGTTCAGTAACCATTCTTTTGATAATTCACTTTATGTCTGCTATTCTATAGAAATAATACCGACAACTTTTTTTCTGATATTCAAAGTAGATTAATGAAATTACTATCCACTTTTTTTATTATAGCCATTTCATTGACTGGCTTTGTTTTATCGTTTGTATAAAACTTCCACATGACTGATGATAACTAAAAACAGGTCTACAAAATCAAGATTATTACGGATAATCAATAACGTAATAGTGAGACTGTAAAATCTTACTATGTTCGTTGTAAAAGTGTATGGCATTAAAATGAACTATGGGTTGTGTATAGTTCATCTTGCTGGAAGCCGTTGCTTCTTAATGCGTCCAACGATATGTTTAAATCAGTCAATTCCTTCTGTACATTTTCAAATACACTATATTTTAGCAGAGTCCCAAGTTCGTTCATTCATGTCACACTTCATTAGGATTATTTTACGATAACTTTCTTTATATAGAGCTCAATAATATTCTCTTTTACGACTTCGATTTCCCATTTTTGATTTTTTCAACCTCTCTCTCTCTCTCTACCCATAGTTCGACTGCCTGATAGCGTACTGGCTTTCCATACTCATGGCTTAAGAGGAATAGATTTCGCTGGCAGGGTAAGTATTCTTGATCTTAAAAGAATTTTAATACATTATATGATGAATACAAATTATTCGTGTCGATTTGAAATTCCGCCAGAAATTATTTGTTGAAACATCACTACTATCACCTTGGTTACATGTATATCTAATATTTTGGGGACTTTTCCTGTATCTAACCTTCTGTAGACAAACATTTCAAACTTTACTAAAGTATCACGTCTCATGCCTACCGCACACATGAAACCGTGTGTAGAAACGTAATATAACTTATTGCTTTGTCAACTTTCCATTTACACGAAGCTGTTTGTGCTAGTTACTAAAGATATAAGGAGATCCGCACAGTTCTCACTCGTTTGAAATAATTATATACTTCACATTTCAAATTACCATATTTGTTAATATAAACAGTCATATCAGTCAAGTGTTTCTTTACTTGAACGGTGAACTTCAAAATTGTATTCATTTGATGGAGGCAGTGTAACATGAATGTCAAGGTTTTATTGGAAACGGACATTCTCTGTCGACTGCCTGTTGTTTTTATAGAGAAGCTTTACTGGGTTTTTTTCTCTGCTTTGAAATCACCAAAACTAAATCCTTTATCACACTTCATGCTCTTAGATACTAACATATACATACGTACATTTTCCTCCAGCTACATTCATCAACTCCATATGTCTTGAACAAAACTACTTTAGTAACCATCCCCTTACTCCCATCAAAAATGGGAATACTGTAGTTAGTTGTTAAGATTTAAACTACCATTCTTTTTTGCTTATCATCGTATTTTCTGTCTAACAGAGTACACCAGATGAGCTATGATAAATGCATTAAAGAGTTAAAGAAGAATGTAGTGTAGTGTGATGAAGGGGAATGCGGACCGAATTTTTCTAAGCATACAACCCAATAGCGTATAGTGTTCGAACAAGGTCTTGTTATTTTAAATCAAGTTTTAATAAAATCCCAAATTTCAATTCTACTCATTTATCTAACAAAGTAGTATCACGGAATTCCTGTTGTATTGCATAACCTGAAAAAAGTCACCATGAAATATACTAATGCTTTTGTATCTCTCTACATATTCATTCTTTCTTTTTCTTCTAGACTACACAAGATATTGATGACGATAAACACGTTTACCGACTTCTTGGAAGTGATCGGTAAGTCTATTGTTTGCAAGCATACTAAGCATTAAATTGCTTTTATGGTGAAACTCTTATAACTTCACAAACACTAATTATAGCATTACTGTACTCCAAAGTGGACGTGCAAAATAAAGTTTCATATTTAAGAGGTTTTCATCCCTGTGTTGATCGCAGTCAAACATCTCTCTCTATAGACCAAAGCGCCACATTCAATGCTAGTAATTAAATGTTTTTAAGTATACAGTTTGAATACCAACCTTTAAAATCCTGGTAAGACATGGTGCTTCTTGTTAATTATAGTGTGTAATACTTTACGAAGTGAAGATAAATTTTATCCTTGAATATTATCCACTTTCTAATATCAACCATTCACTGCTTCTTTGTCTTGACTTATTTTTTATCCATCCAGAAACATCGTTGTTGAAAGCAGACCAAGTGATGATCCAATGTCTAACTCAAACCTTCTCATTCTTGTTGGACATGAAGACTCAACGTGATCCACAGTATTTAGTGTCACAACTTCAAAGAATCTGTATTTTTAGATATGAATTATTTATACTCGTGAATATGGCGTTTAAAACAACTAGCTATCATTTCTTTACCATGGTCAGCTGACAAATAATGAACTGAAATATCCTCCGTTGAATATATTAGCAGTCGGTTCGTTTTTATAATTTGCAATACTTCTAATGATATTTATTACAAACACAGAAATGCACACGATTTGACGACGTTTTGAGGGGAAAGCGAACCCTTTCTGACTGATTTAATAATGCTTATTTCGTTTATTACTTTATTTTGTGTTTAATTTTAATTTATTTCTTTGTTCTTTCTTTAAAATATCTTCAGTGTTGATTACTTTTGTCAATCATAACTTGTGGAAACTTGTACAGCCCCTGCCTTAAAAGTGTGTATTTTCGATCAACACTTTACTCACTTATACTCGAATTCATTCAACTTATAACTTGTGCTTTCAGAAACTAATAATGAGCCTTGTTTCTGCAACTAAATTTATCTTATTTCTATGTATGTGAGACAGATTTTAAATACTCTTCAAAGTTACAGTAACCGTTGCCCAGCCAGTTAAACGTAATACTGGTGATTCAGTTAGCAAGAGGATTTAGCTTGGAACAATCCTGACTAACATTATAATAATCGAATATAGTGAAGCAGAAATAGTCTAGGGATATATGTAGAAGGGGACATAGTTCGAAGTAAATTACTGCAAAGTATGATAACAAGTTAAAAACTGACATAATCAATGAAGACAGTATATTAACCTGAGTTTTGTATTCATATCAATTTCATCAATAGATCGAACACTCATCATTCAAGCCACAAGCTTAATTTCTACATTTTCATGCTATTTTACGTATCAAGTGAAGTATATGCCAATCATGCTCTTGTCACTATAACTTAAAAACGACCTTTTTCCAAAATTGCATATTTCACATTGGAGCTATTTGAAGTGTATAAATCCTCTTCATGGAATCACGAAAACCTCCATAACGTCGCCTATCTAAATCATCTTAAATGTGCTTTTCCATTCATAAAATGCATGAAGAAAGCATTGTGTACTTGGCGCTTTCGGAGTATATAGAGCATGTTACGGACAATAAATAGACGTAAATATGTGGGTAACTCTGTAGTAGATAAGATCATGTAACCTCTTTTTGTTAGCCTGTAATAACGGAAAAGGGGAATAGTTAATTAGTTCACTGGTATATCCTTCCAGTTCAAGGTAAATGTACTTACCAAACGGTTCTATTTTTTACGTTTCAATAATGAAAATTCAAATACTTAAAGAGACAACGTGGTTTAGTAGCTGTAGCACTTAATTTTCAACCAGTGACCTGGATTACAGCTTTACCTACATCAGCTTAGGGTTTTCTAATAAATTTAGTTTATAGTCTGGTATGTAAGCCTCTCACGAGTATCTAAATTCTAACTAAATTAAAACACATATGCCCTATCTCGCCGGAATTCTTAGGGGTCTCAAACTTTTATAAGTTTAAGGACGCAGATGAAAAGCGTACGTAGCGACACAAATTCCACAATAACAGAATCTCACACACGCAGTGACTGAATGTATGTTCAGCTAGTACGTATTATGTATAAAAGAAGCTTTAAGATTCGAACAGTCATATTAGAGTACAATCTGGTCAAGACATTTATATTCCGCCGTATCCACTAGTAGGAAACTACCGTAATTTACTATCGTACCAGTCTCTGATGATTAAAAAAGTATAAACAACCATAGGACGAAATCCTGTGGACCAGTAAAATATTTATCATTATACCAAGTTAATTCAACATCGATACATTCTAAATACCATATTAAGGTCATCCTATATGTTGAAGACCACGAAGAGAGATTAGGTACATGCATCCCAAAGGTAACTAACGTAGGATAAATATTAATCCCATTTCCCCTACTTCAGCATGTGCAACTATGTAGCAATAGCCCAAGCCATCACAACTTAGTGAATCAAAGTATGTCGTTTAACAGAATTGGGTCAATACTTTGATGGGAGTCTGAGTAAATGAATTTCTGCCAAACGTCCTGGCGCTAATCCACATTTATTAGCATTATATTAGATCTCTTGATAATACTAACTAAAACTACTTGCAGTCACTGCGTATGCCTAAGTGTCAACAAATCACACCGGGTTCATATTGCTTAGGACTGAAAGCAATAAGTCAGTACCTAATGGGGAATTCACGGGGTTACTTAGTAGTAGGAATCCTTTGTTTTTATAAACCCGTGGCGGAATTCGTCATTCTCGAATAACACCAGTCTTGAGTTGGAACAGAAAAACAATCCAAGCAGATGTTAAGACTCAAACTAGAATAGCAAATGCAGAAATTGCACCCGTGCACTCGGTCAACATATAAATGTAATTCGAATCAATGCTATAAATGTGAAAATATGTACTAATACTGACCAGCTGTAAAATAAGGTGAGATACACGCATGATTAGAGGTCCTTCACTTTGACAGACATTAAGACGATAGAGTGACACCGTGTGTTACATCAAATAAACTTCCCTAGTATAGAAGTTAATTTGCCCAACTTTCTGTGAAAGCGACAATGCGGCTACATTCATGAAGGTGCAGTGTTTATTTTTTGAGAACCACTACACAGCCTTGTATAAAATTATTGCTCAAGTTAACTGAGATTGTTCTTGAACTCCCTTAATATATATTCCACTCTGCTACTTCAGAGTTCAGCAATGGTAAACCTAGCACTTGTGACTATAGTTACTTGACTTACGTAATGCTCTTCACTTTTTGCAGTGGGATTCTCGCGGAATATTTATTTCATAAAAGTGAAGCAACTACGTCCGGTGCTTTGTGTAGTTGGACTGATAGCCACATTTTTACCACATCAAAATTACTGAAACTTTCCAAAATCGCAACCGCAAAGTATTCTAATACAATTCGGTTATCGTCTCAATTAGTACATATCAAAAGCAAGCACTTCCCCAGAGACTAGAGTTAATCTGAGTGAAATCATTTAGAAACGCAAAAGAAAACAATTACAATTATGTCAATGTAATTATAATGGCAATGACAATCATTATAGTTGGAGTTGACTTCGAGAAGTGATATATGAACGGAGGTAAAAATAAAATGCAGGCGTATCTATTTTCGAATATCAAAACTATGATATTGCAATTGGGAAATCTTCTTTTCATCTTTGAATTCACATCTCTCAATGTGAGACTTCGGACTTCCAACTTCACGCAGCCAGCGTTTACTAATCAGTTTGACTGAGGATAGATGAATCGTGAACCTACAATGCATCTGCCTTCTCGGTGGGACCTTGGAATTCACCCACCACTGTCCCTTTGTCCGTATTCATAACCCAACCAACAAGTCCATTCTGTTTCGCGAACTCTGAAGCATGCTAAATACATGTGTTATTTTCAGAAACGACAAACCTTCCGGAAGAAGACTCCTATTTAACAATTACCAGTTTAGATATTGCCTACCTTGAACTTTACCGTAAACCTCAAAAGAACAACCCACCAAGTTACCCGCCATTTATATAGGCCGCTAAGTCTAAGGAAACGGGAAATTCAATGCTCAACATGTCCGTGCTGTGGTTGCATAAGCCTGGTGATTTTTCGGTCATCTTTTCTTCATGTAAAATAGTGGTTTCAGTTCTTAGGCGTATTATTTCCCAGAATATCTATTCACTCACGTAATGTATGACGCCAGAGCAGAGTTAATCTAAGTAGAATAAAACTCAACCCTACACTTACTACCATTGCAAGAAAGGCGAATTCAATTCTTAAAGTCAATGAGTAACATCCTTACTAGAAATTCTGACAGAAAAGTTACAAGACAGTATGGAAGTTAACCTTTTTCTATCATACAAATTCAACAAGCTGTTTCATAATGTGAATGGCGATTAAAGACAATGTTCGGAACGGTATATTCTTTCAACTTGTTTTTGGTTAGTATACTCCTTATAAGCAGAATGCTGATTAGAAGCCATATGTTTCAAATATCATTATCCTTAAACAACTTCAATTTGAAAATTTGTAGGATGAAACAATGGATTTTATACTAAAAGCCACGGAAATTCGGTGTCATGACCGAAAATAAAGAGAGAAGAATTAACCCTTATCACAAGAGGTAGACAATATAAATAAATTTATGACTTTAAAGTCAATTTCCTTTATCTGTAACGCACTCAATTGCATGCTTTATTCCTTTCATTGCAGATATCCATTAACATCATTCAACCTGGTCACAACGCTTCTATGTTGCCGAAACTGTTTCCAGATTTCATTCTGTACACGTTTAACCTGTAAATACCTTTGTTAAGTGTATTCTTTCTACTGAATATATTATTCCCACCCTGTGTTTGTCTTATTCCATTCCAGTGAAACACTGAACGGTAGAGAAAGCTAGTTTCCAAAACAGCTGTCACAAGGCTTGTGAGTAGATTATATATTGTTTAAGTAGTTTATAATTGAGACGGTGCAAAATGGGTAGCTCCTTCGTTTAAGACGTGGGTAGGATGGGAATAAGTGGTTAAACAAGTTGAAATCGCCCATGTTTTCCCAATTCACTCATGTACATTCTCCTAACGGGATGGTATAGAAGAGCTAGATATTTGTGAGAGCGGATGGAATTCAGGTGAACTCTTCGAATCGCTAACTAAGGAATTATTAATCTGTCTCGGTCACCTGGAATAAAATTAGTACTCTGAGGGAGTGACCATCTCGAAGTCATCAACAGGTTTCAAGACGATCATGCATTGGGAACCAGTCTATTGCAGGATCATAGGAAATCGAGTTTAACCCAAAAGGAGTATTTTACATGAAGTCAGAAACCTCCAAAGATGCTAGAGACCGATCAAAATTTAAAGTTTAACACTCAGAAACTGAAGGATGAACCTACAAGTACGCTCCTGTAGCGGTAAATAATTCCCCAAAATAATTGACCACAGCAATCATCACTCAACATTGGTTGCTGACCCTTACTGTTTAAGTCGACTTGTTTAGCTGAAGGCTTCCGGTCAAGCATCCTCGCCATTTGGCACTCCATCGTGCCACGCTCATGCACGATCACTAACCGGCTAAGCATTCACTTCAGCCCGCGATTTAGTCCCGAAATATATATCGTACTTCGGACGACTAAATCTAGTCTCTTGCTTTGTCTTTCGTACTCGAAGAGCGAACACTATAGAAGTTGTTGGTATAAGAACTTGCGTCAGTATACTCCGTACAATTCGCGAACGTCAATACCGTCAACCTCCCAACTGGTGAGCTCAACCACGAACTTCATCTCCAATAAACACGCAGATAGACCTGGTGAGTTCGTTCCTTTTTGTGTTTGTTCTTGTGCTATATTGCAATCGGCATACATTTCGTCACGAGTGATCCTAGCCCCAAGGTCATTCGCATACGCTCAACTGCCAAAACAATTCAGCTCGTACTATTTTGGCCAGGTAATGCTGAAACGTGGTTTCAGATAGCTGAGTCTGATTTTTGTGAGCATGGGATAACCGATCAACCAGTTCTGCAACAGCTTGTTAACAAATAGTGGCAACCACTCGCCTTTCTCTCGAGGCGCCTTCAATTAGCTGAAACGAAGTACAGCACATTCGGAAGAGAACTTCTGGCTATGTACTGTGCTATACGTCATTTTCGACATTCAGTGGAGGGTTGTGAATTCATAATTTTCACTGACCACACACCTCTGACGTACTCTCTGAACTCAACTTCAGATAAGTATTCACCCAGGGAATCACGATAACTGGATTACGTTTCACAGTTTACATCGGATATTCGCCACGTATCCGGAGTGGACAA